CTGCCTTGTAAGGAATGATCACTGACAACCAGAGATCCTATTCAGCAGGCTAAAAAGAATAATTATAGCCAGGGCAGGCATTAATCAGCTTGGCAGATACAGGAATTCTGTTAACAAGGCTAAAATGAGTGCCAAGGAATCTCTGAAGGCCACAGCACTTCAAAGACTGAGAAGCTGGATGCATTCACTAGGGTTCTCCTGTGAGCCCTCTTTCTCCTGCCTTGCTTCCTTTTCTCAGAGCAGGTGTAGTGACCTGCTAGAGGTTGCAGGTATGGCACCCAAGAGGTGCATGCTGGCACTGCCACTTCCTTCGGGAACTGCCTGATCACCCCAGATCTTAGTTTTAGTTGCATTCTTGCTTGCAAACCACTATCATCCTTTTTTGCCTACATTAATCTCTAGCAGTACACGGCACAAGGTTGTGTGAACATGGGTCAGCTTCTCCTTCACAGAGACAGAGTAGGATCCTGAGATCAAATTCTGGCTCTGCTGTATCGTTTTATGCAATTGGGCAAGTTATTTAACTTTTTCTAGGCATTGGTTTCCTCATCTAAAATAAGGAGAAAATAATGTTCACTTTTTGCAAATTTGTTGCTGTGAAAAAATAAGTGACAGAATATATACGTAAGAGCCCAACACTTGATATGCAGTTTATAACTTATCTATTATTATCTGGGGCCTCCTAGGTGCAGTCCTATCCAGAAGCTATGGGAAAAGAAAAGGGCTGGGGATGAGGCTCAGTGGTAGAGCACAAGGCCCTGGGCTTAATCCTCAGCAGTGAAAAAAAAAAAAAAAAAAATCAGTGTACAGAGATATAACACACATATGTTATACAAAAGTGTCTATGGCTAGGCAGGATGAGTGCGTTTTTCATTTTATATCCCTTATAACTGACACAGCGACAGCGAGCTATCCCCCCAAATTCGTTCCTCCTTTCTCCCCCAGTAGCTGGCATATGGCTGCCAGGCTTCTCCGCATCTCCCAGCTTCCCTTGCAGCTAGTGTGAGATGGAACTAAATTCCTTCCCACAGAATATATGCAGAAATGATGGTGCCATTTCCAAGCTTGGCCCATGAAGCGGCCACATATTCTACTACATGCTGTTTCCTTTGTGGGACCACAGTAGTGATGAAATCATGGGCTGGAGATAGCAGAACTGCCACCAGCCTGGTGCCACAACAACTGTGTGGAACAGAGTCCCCCCGAAGCCTACTCTCTGAAGCATCCTGTGGACACTGTTATAGAAGACACACTGTTTGAACGTCTAATCTTTGAGTTTATTTGGTAGAGCAGTTTAGTCTTCCTAACTAATATAATACTCTCCTGTAGTATTTGAATTTTAAAATATAGATGTAATGTTTTTGTCATTTTAAAAAATATTTCAATGGATTTGCTGAAAAAAAAAAACAAATAAAATTTAAATAGACATGAACAGAATTCCCGTCCACAATCTCCAGGCCTTCCACCCTCCAATTCACACTGTATACTAGTTGAGGATTTATCCTCCTCAAACATCATCCCCCTGTTGCGTTAATCTCACCTGGCAAACTTTTAATGGCTACTCATATCCACAGATAAAAAGATATATCTATGGGGCTGGGATTGTGGCTCAGAGGTAGAGTGCTCACCTAGCACACATGACGCACTGGGTTCGATCCTCAGCACCACATAAAAATAAAATAAAGGTATGTGTCCACCTATAACTAAAAAGATAAATATAAAGACATATCTATTCATATATATTCAGTTGGCCAATATTTATCAAGAACCCACTATGTGTTATATGCCCTATTAGTAATAGGACAGAACAGTGAGCAAGACCACATGGTCCCTGCCCCTAGGGGATATAATTAGGGTAGGGATTTAGACAGGGGACAGACAGTTACAACCAGTGAAATAACACAGGCTGCCTGGCAGCACCCAGGAGCCAATAAATCCACCCCTTACAACCTGGTCTTCTCAGCACAGTAAGCAAAGCCTCCAGCATCTACCCCAAACCCATCTTACAATTTACTTCCCCTTTTTCCTAATCCTCCAGAACCTCATTACATGGAACTCATGCGCTGCTTCTGAGTGAATCATGCACTTTCACTCATCCACTCTTTACGCTTTTCCCCAGAGCCCAGAATGCTCTTCTATCCTTTCTTTCAAAATTCTAATTATCCTCAAGGCTCAGCTCAAATGTCACCTTTTCAGCAAAAGCAACCCCAACCCCCAAGTCAAAATTAATCATCCTCTTCCTTGCTTCCTACCAGCACTTGGTTTCTACTGGGGCATCTCATTCTGTCTGGTAGTTAGTTGTTTTATCATCTGTGCACTCCCCCCGCAGCCCACCAACCACTCACTCAGAGAGAAGCTGTCTTGGTTATTTGTCTGGGACACCCAGTACTGAACACACTATTATGGACAAAGGGAGCACTCAAGAGATGCCAAGCTGGACGGATGGACAAGACAACTCAGACACAGTCAAGAGAAGTGAACAGCTGCCACAGGAAGCTGAGTGGTACTGGTGAGGTCCTGCTAAGGTAGGCTTCGCTGGGAAAGCTTCATGGAAGAAGTGAGTTTCAAGCAAAAAAAAGGAGATACATAAACAAGATATTCTATATATCCTATGCAAAGAAGAGCAAATGAGTCACTTAGAATGACATGTCTGAACCAGAGAGAAGACCGGAGGGGAGAGAACACAAGGGTCAGCCCCTCCCTAGCAGAAAATCATAAGGAAATGAAGAGAAAAAGTGGATTAAAAAAAAAAAGATCTTTTAGGAAAACAATGAACTTAGAAGGGAGGCTGGGGGGAAAGGATGTCAGAAATTACCTAGGTGGGAACCTCCAGGACCTGGACTAAAACTGTGGTTAGAGAAACCAGAAGGATAGGAAGCAGCTTGATCCCGTGCTACAGGAAAAAAAATAATAATAATAATAATAATAATAATGAGAGATAGTGTGAAGGTGAAGGTCACAGAGAACAGTGACACCAAGATTCTATGAAGGCTGCAACACTGGAGGAAGATGATTGTGCTTATCAATGTATTACATTTCAGGATAAGTACAGGGCTAGAAAGGTGTTAAAAAAAAAACCTTTCCAGAGGTCAAGCTGAAACCAAAGCACAGGAAATACTGAGAGTCAGAGTTGACAGGTGGAACATCAACAGTTCAGAGAACCATTGGCAAAAAGGCATTGGCTAGAGACACCACAAATTCCTGGAGTAGTTAACATGAGATACCTAACCAGGGCAGGATAAACTGGGGTACAATCAAGATTTCCCAAAGCTCTGCTTTCCCACTTACATTTTATTTTTGCCAGTCTCTTTCTGCCCACTCTCCCTTTTTCTCCCATGCCCCAGTTACTCAAAGGCATTCTTTTCAAACTTTCTACCTCACCGCGCACCCTTTTGACTGATGTGCGAGCTGTGAACTGCCCAACTCTAGGGAGAGTCGTTCACATAAACTATGATGAACAGGAGCTCCTAGAGTTGTGCAGTGTATCTCATGTGCAGCCATGGGTCATGGCCCTGCTTGACAGCAGACACATAAGTCAATTAAACTGTGTGAACTATGGCCAGCAATGTGCAACAAATGTGGAACTTACAAGGGAACCAGAGTGCAGGAAAGATTAAAAGCACCAGGATGGTGGACCACAGGGGAGATGCTACAAAACTAAGAGGAAGATCCAGAAGCTTCCTGAAGATGGGTTGCATCTCAAGCAAGGTGGCTGGATGAGCTCTCTGAGGGAGTGAGTTTGAGAAAACACCTCCCAGGTGGAGGAAGAACACAAAAGCAGCTAGAAAGTCTGGCTTACTGGCTGCAGGAATCAGGGGGCTGGGCCCTAGGGCCAGCAGGAGGGAAGTGGTGTGGAAGGCCATCACTGGGACCCTCTGCATAAAATACACAGTAGTCACTTAACCCTGCAGTGCAGATGGGGCCTGGCTGGGGACAGACAGCACCACGTGCTCTGCAAAGATTCAGATCTGACTTCTCTAGGGGATTGGCAGAGAACCTGTGACCAGGTCTCAGGATTCAGCTTGTCCTGGTTGACACTTATATAGAGACCCAAAAATATCAAAGCATTTAAGGGCCAGCCCTCCAGTACCTTGGTGGACACTTAACAAACATATTCCCTTAGCTGGTTAAGATCATCATGTGTATCTATGTGGAGATGGTGACTGTGTATAGACTGAATGGAAAATGGAGAGAGAAAAAAAAATTCATGAATGATTCCTTGAGTGGGGGGAGGGAGGGCGCTGGTCCATCAAGAGCCACCCCGGGTTTCCAGAAGGTGAAAAGGAGGGGACGGGGGGGGGGGGGGGGGGGGGGCAAAGTAACAGGTAGAAAAAGTTGGAAAAGCTAGGCGCTTGGGTCTTTGTGTATAAACGTGAGGCTAGGCAGCTTCAAGAAAAGCTAAGACAAGACTGAGGCAGGAGATTCAGCCACGACAAAAATGACGGCAGGGACCGCACACCGATTGTCATTGTAACGCTCTGGGCCATCCCGTGACCTTCGTGGAAGGAAGTTGCTGGATTCTCTCGCTTCCCTGGAAAGGCTACCCAGCGAGGGCTCGCGCGTGTGAAGAGCAATCGGCCAGGGGCGGCTATGGCGGGGCGTATCAAAGGCTCACATTTCCGCTCTCAGGCTGGGGACGCGGGCCAGGACCGCGGGCACCTTCCGGGGCCGGGAGTTCAAGGTGAGCCGGGCTCCCGGCGGCCAACAGGTAGAGAGAGCTGGGGGACCGCGGGCTACCGGCCACTCCCCCGGCACATGTGGGGGGCGAGGCTCGGCCTGGCGGAGAGGCTCTTTGCACCCCGCGCGGGGCCGGGCCGCTGGGCACCGGGCTCGGGGCGGCCCCGCAGCCGCTCCCCGCCCGGGCCGCCCGCGCACCCGGGTCTCCCGGGAGCCGCCAGGGCACCCTCTGCGCCCCAGGCCGCGCGCTGCAGCCACGCCCCGCCGATCCCCACGGGGCCCCGCCGGTGCCCCGCGTCCCGCCGAGCCCCACGCTCACTTACCCAGCGACAGGAGCGCCAGCAGCAGCGGCCTCGGCGCCAGGCGCCCCATGCTCGCAGGGCGGGAGCGACTCTCCCCCTCCTCCTCCTTCCCCGCCGCCTCTCCTCCTCCTCCTCCTCCAGCTCCGGCTGCTCCAGAGTCAGCGCTCCTCCGCTGGGCCGCGCGCCTGCTCCGCTCTCCTCGCGAGCCGAGAAATCCCAGCGCTGGGGCGTACGTGCGCCCCTGGCTCGGCTCGCTCGCTCCCGCCTCCTTCCTTCCCTCCCTCCGCCAGACGGCCGGCCCCGGGAGCTGGCCCCGCCGATCCCAGTGTACAGCCCCGACCGCTTCCCGAAAGCCAAAGGGAAGGACCGCAGCGCCCGCCCGCGCCTCCCATCCGGCGCTTTGCCAGCAACAAACACAAACTTTCCCAAGCCCCTCCCCGCTCCAGGTAACGGAGGAGGCGCCGGGGCCACCCGCTTAAAGGGGAGGCGACGGCGGAGCCCACCCAGCCCTCCCCTCGGGCCCCCACCCCATGAGAAACTTTCCTCCGACCTTTTAAAGTTGGCCTGGGAAGACTCGTCTGGAAATCCCATCGGTTTGGCCCTATCCCGGGACGCCCCGAGTTCTCCACTTAGGAGTCACCCACGCGTGTCTGCTAGTCCCTCTGCCAACAGCGCGCACGTTTTCCTTCTCCTCCCGAGCTAAGCACCCCACCAGCCTGCTGCTTGGCCCTGGTTAACATGATTCATATAAGGCTGAAAGAGTTGTAAGGACTTTAAGGGTCATGGATTCCAAGAGACTTGATGTGTTTGGGTGACTTATCCAAAGATTCAAGCAAAGGGGCAAGATCAGAATGGAACTCTGACTGTCCTGTGGGGCGGGGGGGGGGGGGGGGGGGGGGGGGGGGGGGGGCGCGCGCGCCCGCTTGGTTACATCAGACCCCTCCCTCCTCTCCAGGGTGCCCATGACTTTGATTAGAACAACTTTCCACAAAGACCCTTGCTCCTTGCTTTAAAAAGAAAAAGAAAAAAAAAAGCATATTAATAGCTAGAGTACTTCATATGGAATGTACTCTTAAGATTTTATATTCTTTGCTTTAAGTGGACACAACTGGTTACCAATAAAGACTCTTTTTCCCCCCACAATAGACTTTTGTACTTTTTTGATTTGAATAGAAAAGGCTCTACAGTATTGGGAAAATTTTTTCCTGTTCCTTGTTTGAAACTTCACAAGGATGATTCAGACACACAAGAAGCAGCACTGGTAACCCACTGCCCCCTCACCATAGCCTTTCATTAATATACTCAAAACAAATCACAGATGTTCTTGGGGAAACTGACCAAGCTGGAGAAGAACACTGCTTTTATTCTGGTACATTATTATTTACACCAACAAGTGTTTCTTATTTTTGTTAACCAATGTGTGATTAGCCAGGTATGAACCCTACAGAAAGAGAAGGACAAATTCATTCCTGGTAATAGAATAATGTGAATTTACTTAATGCCCCTGAACAGTACATTTAAACATGATTAAAGTGGTTATTTTGGTGTTATGTCTATTTTACCACTGTAAAAAAAAATAATTTCTTTCCTACAACTGAGCCTTTCCCAAATTGTTTACCCACTCTGTTATTCTTCTCCCTCCCCATCCCTGTCCTTCCCTGGGATTTCTAGGGGCAGTTATTATTATTATTATTATTATTTCACTCAATCAACCTTGAAAACAAGCCTTGGAAGATGCTGGAGCTACAGAGAAGCCTAAGGCCTGGCTCCTCCAGAAGCTCGGATTTCTGCTCATCAATCTTCCTTTCTTTACCACCCAGAATACTTAACGTCTGGACTGCACATTTTAGCACTTGATCACGTTCATTTTAACACAACATGTGCACTGCTCCCATCTCTGTCTAATAATACAAGAACCTAAGCGGCTGGCACCTTTTCATCTTGTATCCCCCACATTACTGCAGAGTCGATTTTTGCTAAAATAAATAAATAAAACCGTCTTGCTTAACAAACAAATGCAAGTCTGGGAGTGTGCCTGGCACATAGCAATTCCTCAATACGTATTGATGGAGCAAATGAATGCCAGCTATATCCTGAAACTACAGGAATGAGTCAGACAGTTCCTGTCCTAGCAGTGCTTATAGTTCATGCATGATGGACTATAGGTGCGGCAGCGTGTGCAAGGTTCAGTCATGACAGAACCAGGGAGTGGCCTGTCCTGGGGAAGGTTTGCAGAAAGAAAAAAAAAAAAAAAAAACTCACAGAAAGGATGACTGTGCAGTGAGTCTTGATATCATCAGTAGATACTCAGTTGTCAGGTATGAGGGGATGAACTTGCAATAGTTGTATATTGAATGTGGTAGAGATTCTTCTCTCCTCCCCATTTTTCCCGCAGATGTCATCAAATTAATGGTGCATCTTACAATCATGAAAATAACCAAAGGTAATAGCTGAAATATGAAGAATAAATAAGACTGTCCAGGTAAGGTAAATAGAATGGGGACTAAGTAGACAGCCTGTAGGTGACGGGCAGTCAACTGTGTCATGAGAATCAACCAAAGAGCCATTTTTGTAGCAGAAAGTGAGCACAAATGAGTAACTCCAGACCACACTGTTTGCATGGCCCTGACTACAAACAGATAAAATGTTACCAACTAAAGAAGTGCAGCATCTGCAGCAGACAAGCACAATTTGTTAATTCATGACTCTGGAATCTGTTGATGCTTTTATTATGGCAGACATTTATTTGCCTTAGTGAGTAATCTTCTGTATAGGTAAACCTTTTGCCCCAACCGATTGTTCTCAGATGATTAGTGTATAGACTTGCTAGGCGCAGGAAGGCTCACACCCACTAATTCTAACTAACTCACCCCTACCACCAATGAGGGTGAATCCCAACTTGGCTGTTCTTTGTCCCATCACACTAATCCTCAGTACACTGGCCCCAACCAGCCACTATCCTCTCTTGATTACTCCTGTCTGTCTGCAGGTATTGTCCCTGAAAACCTCACAAGAATCCTCATATGCTCTCCCCTCAAACAGGTTTCCCCAATGAGATAAGGCAAAAGCAGTATATTATTTAACTTTGAAAATGAAAATGTTAAAAGTTCCCAATGAAAGAATTTCCTGATTGTTCTAAGATTCGCCCAGTCTTAATATCTTAACCCTATTGCTGCCACCAGCTCATGCACAGCCTCCCAATGATCTGATCCCTACTGCAGCAGGGTCTCAGGGAAAGGAGGGTGTTCCATGCCAACTTTTCATTCCATCGATCATTTTCATTCAAAAATAGGCCTTGTTCTGTGTCCAGGTGTGTATTTCCCCAGTTGAAATTAAACAGGGACTACTATTTTCAAAAAAATAATAATAAGAAGAAGAAGATTTAATTAGAGAATGGAGGTAAGAGTTTAAAAGGGAGGAGTGGGGATAGGAAGCCATCATTTCCTGATGAATCAATGTCATTTGATTTTGGATTTTGGTGAAGCCATGTAGGAAGTGTAGGAAGTTGCCCATCTGAGACAACCTTCAAAACTGCAAGGGAATAGGCTAACCACTCTTCTCCCTGAGGGCTGGTCCTGCTCTGTGTCCGCCCAACCATCCATCCTTCCCTTCCTTTCTTCAGCTCTAAAAGACTAAAGTGTGAGAGATAGAGAAAATGTTCTTAGGTGACTTAGAACTGCCCCTAATTCCACCTCCGCCAAGCCAAAAAAGTCTCCCAAGCACCACCCCCAGAGCAAACACTTGCCCACACAGTGTTAGTCCCACGGGGACACCGGGGTGGAAGAATGAGGAGAAAAATGAGGAAATGGAACAAGAGGAGGCTTTTGCAATAAAAATACTCTATAAGAATGAGGTTATATTATTAAGAATGTGCATGGCCTTGGCCCTGGCCCTGAAGTAGCTTCTCATCTCGTTTAATGTGTTGAAAGACATGCCGCAAAGGATGAGGGAAGTGATGATACAGGAAGAGCAAAGGAAATTGAAAGAAAGTTAGGCAGATAAAAGAAGTACATGCCATATTGTGGAATATTCTGTGCATATGCTATCATCAGCGCTGAAGTATCTCCTAGAATGAACAGAGGTAGCAGAATAAATGGTGAAAAGGAAGTACTGCCACATCTGGGAAGTTAGAAATAGCTATGGGGGACCAGTAGATGTGGAAACAGATTCTCTACCCACGGCCATGGCTGCCAAGCATGGTGGTGCCCCAGTGTGTCCGGTGTAGCCCACCTTGTGCCCTGAGCTTAGGTGGTGTGCCAGGGAGGGGGCTTTTTCTCCTTTTGGCAAAGTCCTGGCCCTAGCCTTCACACAAAAGTGTGGGGTTGGGAGAGGAGTATGGGGCTGTCCTCCCTCCCCTAGCCCTTCTCACCACATTTGAATCAGACTTCTGAGTTCACCTGAAACTATAAGTTCTAGGCACTGCATTTTAAAAAGCAACATTTATTAACTAAAATGCACCATAAGTAGGATTGCTGGCTGAAAGACAGGATGCCCGATAAAATTGAAATTTCAGATAAACATGGAATACTTTCTTAGTATATTCCCAAATATTCCATGGAGTATTCTTATACTGAAAAAGATATTCCTTGCATGTCTAAAGCTCAAATTCACCTGAGCATCCCATATTTTTATTAGCTAAGTCTAGCAAATAAAAGATTTATTGGAAGAGTCTGGAGAAGACAATATGGAACTCTGAGTAAGCGATCTTCAGATTGTTTGGAAGTTTACACTTGAAAGAAGGAACAAACTTCGCTAAGGGATATTCTGTTGAGTCACTGGGTAAAAATTGCCACAAGAGAGAATTTGGCCTAGTTTGTAATAACCAGAGCTAGCTCAAAGCTGAAGGGAGCTGGATTATATGGCGCTATCTTCTTTTCCCTAAAACCTGTTCAGCCAGAGGTTAAATGCCTGCCCGCATTGGAAGCATCAAAGGGTAACTGCATTAGGTGAGTCCATACATAAGTTAACCCGGAAGGATGTCCTTCCCAACCTCAAGATTGTTGTGCCCTTCATCCAGGTACAACCAACTCTTTGGTCCTCACATTGTCCTTGTCCCTGTTACTCTTCCTTTTCCCCCTAGAATTGGGTTGGATGTTTGCTCTGCAGCATTAGAGGACAGAGAAACTCATGTGTAGATGCCACTGTTTCTTGTGGAAAGCTAGGGTTACTACGCTGTAAACCCATCTACTCTCTACTGGAGAGAACTCACA